ATGCTACGGGCATTAGTGTAGAGGCATTTCAGGCCTCCTTAATTATATGCTGGATGTGTAACCATTCCTTGTATCAACAGTTATCCTATAAGCTATTAAGAAACTAATTTAAGTAGTTTTGCTCTCATACCAGTTTTCTATTTATTGATTTAGTGGAAAGCAACAGATTGGTAGGTACAGTGTGGAGCAGGTCATGACACATTTAGTGCAGACTTCATTGCAATAACACTATTTTATCTTTAGTCCTCCAAAGCAAGAAACGTGGTATGAAAGCCGTAGTCTCCCTTTCTGCTCCATTTACTGTATCAGATTAATCACTGCTGTAAATGAGTATGGCTTCATTGAAGTCAATGGCTCTGCATGCCTTTAACAGCGGAAAAATTCAGCCCTGTGTTTGCACATTAAAAGTAATATCTTGATTTTGTTGAAATTAATGGGAGTTTTATCATTGGTTTCAGCGGAGCCAGGATTTCGCCCTGAGAACATAAAAAGAAAGAAGGAAACTGTAGGGTCCCTGTGGTGATTTCTTGACGTCCTTCTCCTAGGATCATACGGTCATAGGATAATAGGGCTGGAAGGGACCTCACAAGGTCTAGTCCCTCCCCCTGCTCAAGGCAGAAGCATCCCCCGCTAAACCATCCCAACCACATGTCAACCTGCTCTTGAAAACTTCCAAGGATGGAGAGTCCACAATATCTCTAGGCATAAATTTCCTCTGCTAAAGCTAGAGACCATTGCTCTGAGTCCTATCCCCTACAGTCACAGAGAAAAGACTATCTCCATCCTCTCTATATTTGCCCTTCTGGTATTTGAGGACTTTTATCAAACCTCCTCAGTCTTTTGTTCTCAAGACTAAGTAACCGTTCATCTTTCAGCCCTTCCTCATAAATCTGCCCTCCCAGGCCCCTAAACATTTTTGTTGCTCTATGCTAGACTTCCCAATTTGTCCATATCCTTCATCTCTTTTATTGCTTGAATACTGCAGTCTAGTTGAGGCCCCAGATCCTCTGCACCAGAAACTCACATAGGCATTCAGTGTAATGCTGAAGTCAGGCTCAAACACCCTACCACTCCTTGTACATCTGAACCCATTCATGCCCTGGGAACCTGATAACAGCATATGATAGCCAGTTTTCAATGTAGGGTCTGTTCCTGTCAACACTTAGCACAGGTGGACACAGTGCCTCCTCCCACCTGAATGGTCCTGCTGATACTGTGGAGGTGCTAGGTCTGGCCGAAGTACTGCTTGCAGGGTTGTATCCTGAGTTCACGTGTTTTTCAGTTTGGTGGGACCTTGATTAGAGGAAGGAAAAATATGTTGGTGATTTCAGCAATCTAGACCAAAATCAGGTACATGAGAACAGAGTAAGACTCTTAGTTCAACTAACATCCAGCTCACATAACGAGCAGAACGACGGCCCCCAATTCTCAGTTTAATCAACTCAAGTTGCTGGTAAACCCATTGGATCTGACTTTCTGGATTCCCTCTAAGCACGAGAAAATCCTCCAATGATTAAAGGCTTCCTGTTACCATAAAGGAGTGGCTAGGGAAGAGGTGGTAAAGGATTGGGGAGCATACCTTATTTTAAAAGCACCTGTGTCTGTTGCCCCGATCCTACTCCATGAGCAGTTTTATAACCAGGTTCCCTGGCATGGTTTTATTAATGTAAAAAGGACCTGTGGTTGCACAAGAAATAAGCACATAAGTTCCCCCCAGAGCAGCTCCAACAACTTAAGTAGAGCTGACCTAATTTATAACTGGGCAACTGAAAAGCAAACACATCGTAAGACTGTGAGCTTCTTTCCCTGGTATAAAACAGAAACACCCCCACTGAAATCAGCAGAGTTGCTTCATAAAAATGCAGTGGAAACCAATCAATCAGGCTGCATTAGTCCAGCCTCAGTAAGTATTCGCTGTCAGAGGACACAATGCCTCACTGCTAATGGGTAGTTTCCAAGACCTGGCTGTTTTTAAATACAATTTTTATATAATTAAGTAAAGCAGCAAGGAAGAGAGCCTGGAACTGACTGAGAGCTGAGGTGGAGCTGACAGTGCTAAATATTCTGCCTAGTCATTAATGGACAGGTGAAGAAAGATGATAGGCATGCTATTGCTGTTAGTGAGTGATTTATACTTTCCGTCATGTCCTGGGTCATTATACGTATTTTCTAAGCATTTAACCTTTTCAAGTTGCACCTTGCCTACATTGCCACACTGCTGAAATGTCAGTAATAGCATGGCGGTGTCAACAAACAATATTTCATGCTGCATACAGCTGTAAGGACTTGCATAGTAAAATAAGTTTATAGAATATTTATTACTGCATTTTGTAATATACGGTAAGATCAAAGTAATGAGGCAAGTATGAAGAAGACCGTTAATGCGCCTCAGACTTCTGAGGGATTTGAGAGTTCATAAACTGCTACAATCTTGTAATTCACAGTGACCCATCAATTATGATCTACCATAAATGTTTAAACTGCTATATATGTCAGTACAACTTACTGAAATTAGAACCGACAAAGTAAAATAGAATTTATGTCAGAGACTCGTAAATACTGTCTATGCAATTTCTCAAGTGATGTTGCAGATTTAATCTGTTAGCAATATAGAGTAGTATGCTATGAAGCAGTGTAAGACCCAGAGCACAAACACACAAACCAGAGCAGTGAATGTACTTTTGCTCCTTCCACAGGTGTGTTTGAGTGTGCTTTGAAATAAAAAGCTATATTGGATCAAGCCAGGTGTGTGGTGTTCATTTTTGTGTTTAGGTTGCACACTTCAGATTAAAAGCAGCACTGATGGGAGGTTTTATCTCAAGCGTAAGGTAGGGATATAAGATTTGTATTGCATTCCATTGAAATCCTATCGATTTGCCATTGATCTCAATCTCCAAGCTGAGCCAAAAGTCCATCGGAGTCAAGCAGCCTATATGTATGGTTAAGACAGGCCTTTTTTGCAGTAAACAGCACACAAGGGAGTGATGTGGGTAGCATCACAAGTGGCTTCTATTGACTCCCCACCAAATGCATGTACCATATGCATCTTGATTGACTTTTGCCGTAGGCCTTGATCAAGGCTGGGACTCACACTCTTAAATAACAGACCGTAACTAGTCTGCCACCATTCTCTGCCTTGTTTGCACTGGATGACAATGAGGGTGACTGAGCTAGATGGGTGTGAGCTACTGGTTTGCCTTAAACAAGCTGTGCCCTCTGTGCTTTTTTAACATGACCTCCTTGTCATATCACAACCATTCTCCTCCAAGGGAGATTCGAAAGCTAACATCGAGGTCAACATTTTGCTGTCTCTCAACAATGCTATGCTCCTGAGGCTGCCATTTATTCCACATCACAAACTCTTCTCTGTCCTTGAGCAGTGACTAAAGATGCCATCCCCATCCCACACGCTCCTAAAAAAGTCTGTGACCCTGAAAGACTTATGCATGTTTTTCATTTTTAAGTAAATCCATAATCTCATTCAAAACAATAAGGCTATTTGCATGCATGGACTTAGATTCATAGATTCATAGATTGTTAGGGGCTGGAAGGGACCTTGTAGATCATCAGGTCCAGTCCCCTTGCACTAGGCAGGAAAAGACAACTGGGGTCATGTGACCCCAGTGAGATGACTGTCCAGTCTCCTTTTGAAGATTTCCAGGGCAGGTGACTGCACCACCTCTGGAGGGAGTTTATCCCATAGCATGGACACCCTGACTGGGAAGGAGATTTCCTGGAATTGAGCCTGAAGCGGCCTTCTAGGAGCTTGTAGTCTTTGGTCCTGGTCTTTCCCAGGGGTGCCTTGGTGAACAGCTGTTCACTGAATTCTTGTTGTACTCTCCCGACGTAGCAGTCAGCTGCTACCAAGTTCCCTCTCAGCCTTCTCTTCTGTAGGGGGAAGAGGCCCAAGTCCCTCAGCCTCTCCTCGTATGGCTTGTCTTGCAAGTCCCTGATCATACGGGTGGCTCTTTTCTGGACCCTCTCAAGTTTTATCATGTCCTTGTGCAGCACGCAGAACTGGACTCAATACTCCAGCTGTGGTCTCACCAGTGCAGAGTACAGTGGGACTATCATTTCCTTGGTTTTGCATGAGATGCAATGGTTAATGCATGCCAGTGTGTTGTTTGTCATGCTAGACACAGCATCACACTGACGGCTCATGTTCATGTGATGGTCAATCACTACCCCTTTTGGCTGTGGTGCAACTCAAATTGTCGTCAATGAGCCTATAGGTATGTTGGGGATTGTTTGCCCCCAGATGGAGTGCTTTACACTTTTGAGTGTTGAACTTTATC